ACAAATATGGCGGCTTGTCTTTGCTTGTTGGTTCGGTTCCAGACGTTATAGAGGGCGCTGTAGGCGGGACTTAGGAAACGGAAGTAGTCAAATTTAGCGACCTGCAGTGGAAATCATACGATGTACTCTCATAATGGACTTCGGACGTCTTAGGAAACATAATACAAATTTTATTGGAAGGTAAAATTTCTATATTATTTTGTGTCAATGTAAACCTTGCTGGTGTGTGGTATTCTTTAGATAAATATAACGATTACCTGAGAAATGGGAGAGTGCTGAAAACCCTTACCTCATCATCTCCATTGCCGGTCTCCAATTGCGCGAGGATCTTCTGCAGGTGAGGCTGCCGGGACATCTCCTCACGTATCGACACGCGCTCGCTCTCCGACTGGGAGGACGCCAGCTTCGTGCAATACAGGACTGTGGACAACATCCATACTCATCATCATCTTAGCCTATAGCTGTCCACGGTCTCTCCAATCGATCTAACTATTCTATACTGAGACCTTAGAACTTATATCTCAAGGTGGGTGGTGCATTTACGCTGTAGATGTCTATGGGCTCCAGTAACCACATAACACCAGGCGGGCTGTGAGCTCGTCCACCCATCTAAGCAATAAAAAAAAAGGAAAGTTTTTCAATACGTAAAAGGTTATTTCTTCCTCGAACCGGGAGTGTTGCTAACACGAATCCTAGCAAGAGCCGTGCTTCGTATGAATCTACCGCCGGATCGGAAACGCGACCCACTGAGAAGATCCGACGAGAAACTCAGTGGGCTGTGTCTGTGGGTTAATTCACTCGACGGTGACCGGTGCTTGTGGTACCTAAAAGCACCGTTAATGGATCGGGAGGATCCCTAATGACGTGTTAAGGAAGCGAAAATAAGGCAGGTTGCTAGTTTATATATATATAAATGAATTGCTGTTCGTTAGTCTCGCTAAAACTCTAGAACGGCTGAAACGATTTGGCTAATTTTGATCTTGAATTGTTTGTGGAAGTTCAGAGAAGGTTTAAAAGGTAAATAAATATGAAAATGCTCGGAATTAAATAAAAGTAACAATTTTGTTTTTCCTTTGATATGTCCCCCATCAGACGGATTCCTTTTGTTTGTTTTAAGTTTATTTTATACAAAAGTTTAGGTCTTTTATTTATCGATTGAAGCACTACGAAGTCTGCCGGATCAGCTAGTTACATATAAAATTAATCTGATTCATAAGTATCAGTAATTATGGTCGCATTTCGATCGTTGCACAAAATGAAACTCACTCATGAACCTGTACTTGTTCAATATCTTGACGAAGTCGAAACAGTCGTAGCCGAGCAGCAGGACCAGCCTGTTCTCCAGGTCTCTGTCGTCCGCCGCTTCGGCGAGCGCCTTCAGGACGTCCGTGGATTTCGCCTGGACACAAAAACAAATAATTACAATTCTAGTAACTGAATACACACATATGGAATAACAAAGCAACTGATCACCAAACTTCACAGAAAATTACTAATATCACTGAATTTATAAATATATTCTTCTTTCAACCGATAAGTAAACCACAATTTTTGCCTAATGTAATATGTACTTAAAAAATGTTCACGATTGACTTCCACGGTGAAGGAATGACATCATGTAATAAAAATCAAACCCGCAAAATTATAATTTACGTATTTACTGGTGGTAGGACCTCTTGTGAGTCCACACAGCTAGGTACCATCGCCCTGCCTATTTCTGCCGTGAAGCAGTAATGCGTTGAAGGGCGGGGCAGCCGTTGTAACTATACTATAATGAGACCTTAGAACTTATATCTCAAGGTGGATAGCGCATTTACATAGTAGATGTCTATGGGCTCCAGTAACCACTTAACACCAGGTGGGCGCTGTGAGCTCGTCCACCCATCTAAGCAATAAAAAAAAATTAAAAAATGTTATTGCATGAAGCGATTCTTATCCACATGATGGTTACCTGGAAAAGATTGCTCTTAGCAATAAGACAGCCCATTGTACTTTGGTTTTCAGTGTATTGCAATTGTGTTTAATTTGGCGTGCAAGAAAGCACATTCTCTCTCTTTGTCTCTCTTTCCATCTTAGTACCAAAAATTTTTTTATTTTTCTAATATTTAGCCTGAACTCTCACAATTCTCCTGTAATTCTTAACGCCACGACATTCGTGTGTCATCAGCCCATAGTCAATTTAGGCTCTCTCTGTTCATGAGCCTGGCTAAGAAATTCGCTGAGTTGATCTCTTTACTTGGTTACTTGAAGCCACGCATGTAACCTCCCCTCAAGTTCAATATTATATTTTTCTCTTGCACCTACCCTCAAGTTCAATATTATATTTTTCTCTTGCACCTACCCTCAAGTTCCATATTATATTTTTCTCTTGCACCTAGCCTCAAGTTCAATATTATATTTTTCTCTTGCACCTACCCTCAAGTTCAATATTATATTTTTCTCTCGTACCTACCCTCAAGTTCAATATATTTTTCTCTTGCACCTACCCTCAAGTTCATGATGAAGCCCTGGCCTGTTTTATCTTACCTGAGACAGCATAGCGTCAGGAAAATGTCTGGACAGTCGTCTCTGCAGCCAGTAAGCATCTATATCCATCGGATGCAGAGACTGTGAGTGGCGTTTGTTAATTTGCTCCTCGCTTAGCTGGAAACATATAAATATTATTATTATAATTTAGTTCTTTGTTTTGATTTTATGTGATATACTGTATTGATAATTGGGACTTTCATCACTCAACACTGTGTTCTTTTCAGCATTAATTTTTACTAGTGTCCCAGCAGTAGTCGAAATTCGACTATAATTAATTAAAATTATAAGTTTGGTCATTATTATGGTTCTATTGTCAAAGACCATTATATTTCTATACTCACAGATTTCGTCAAGACTACACTATAGACAAATACTCGTAATATTAAAGATAAAGAATATTAACCTATTCTCAATTTGACTACAGATTTTAAGCAATAACAAAAGTTTGACAATAAACAGAGTATATGTGTGTGTGTCAAATACATGGTAGTGTGTGTAATGTTTTCTTTATTGATTTAATGTATTTTTATGTATAATTTAAAAAAAATTATTAGGATTGTGCACTCCTTCTCTATATTCTCTATAAGTGTGAGAAATTTCATACTCCTCCGTCTGTCCAATTTTCGTAAAAAGGGGTACAACGTTTTTGCTTCACGTATTAATATATAGATATAATGTTACACCAGAACACATTTATGATGTGTGTCAAGCTCTGCTACCCGGTGCCCACTTAACACCAGATAAGTCCTGAGCTTCACCTCTCGTTTGGTGTAATAGAAACCTAGACATAAGAACTATGGTTCTTTTACTAATAAGAGAACAAAACAGTCATCAGCGGACTGACTCATTGAAGGATGATAGACCAGAAACAGATTCTTATTAACAAACCAAAAATCCTTAATCAAAATGTTTCAATTCAGCTTTTTAAGGAACTTTTTTATAATAGTGAAATATAAAAATACTTTTAAGCGAGATTTAATTGGGAATTTCTGAAAATGCTGTAATTACATTGATTTGTTTTAATTTTGCTTCAATTATTTTGTTATAAATTCGATATTCGTAATTATAAGTTTACAATAAATAGTGCCTCAGAGATTGGTCTTTACCCAATGGCATTTAAAGGTTTTGACCGTTGTTTTTGATTCAGTCAAGAGACCGGCACGCTTTTTCATACATTTTGTTTCAGTCAACCCCTACTGCTAGGAACTTAGTTCCGATAAAGCCCGGGATCAAAATAAATATTAATTAAGCTTCATCCTTCATCCTAAACGTGCAATTTAAATCATGCAAAAATCAAAGAATGTATAAATAGGTGTGTTCAATCAAATATTTTAATAGCTAACGTCTATATTAATTTTATAAGTCAAATAAAAATCGGTGTACAAAACAAACTTACATTAGTGTGAATGGCATTCCTTTTCCCCTCCGTATCACTGTCCTCTTCTCCACTGGATTCTTTTTCTTTCTCATTCTCTGACCCTTCACCGTCTTCTTTATCTTCTTCTCTTACCTGAATAAAAGTCAAATTGGTAAGATTGAAACACATAAACAATGTAAACATCTCATAGAAAATATTTGACATATTTTTTTTTTTGTTTTGTGGGTTCACAGCCCACCTGGTGTTAAGTGGTTACTGGAGCCCATAGTCATTTACAACCCAATGCGCCACCCACCTTGAGATATAAGTTCTAAGGTCTCAGTATAGTTACAACGGCTACTCCACCCTTCAAGCCGAAACGCATTACTGCTTCACGGCAGAATTAGACAGGGCGGTGGTACGACATTAAAATACACAAGTTGATTACTCTAATTAATACAACATTTAGAAATTATATGCACTTTTAACAAAAGGTCAGGATTGTGCACTTTTAAAAGTGTATTGAAGGCAACTTTTTGCTTGTTTAATGTCTGGAAAAGTCCACTTGTGCAGGAGAACTGTCACAAACGTGAACATTCCTGTTCTGACTCTTGGATAGCAGCATTCTACACGAGGACCAATCTGCAGCATCAAACAAGGGTGTGTGATGTCAACTACAGTCTTTTAGAATTTAATCTTCCTACGTTATACAAGTGCAAATACTTTCAGTATTACCTCTCCATATGCATCTTCATCATCTTCCTCAGAGGACTCTTCAAACTGCACATTGATGCCGTATGTCTCATCTATTTCGGTGTTGCTCTCTGTTGCCGTTGTCATGTTGAAGTCTGTTATTTTCTTGCCTGTCAAGGTTAGGAGTTATTACAAGATATGCATTATGAGACATTTCAATAATACAATTAGTAAGCAGTGAATATAATTAAATAGAGTAGGAGTCATTTGAACCACTTCACTATTGTGTACAGTTTGTTATTGTTTTTCTTTTTGAAGAAGATAACTATGTTGTGGCAATGTCGTAACTTTTAAGGTTAAAGGAAACTATAGCACTGATACTAGCCTTTTCTTTCTTTTTAGAAATGGAACTCCAGTCATTTGTTACTGTTACCTTAAATTCATCTCCAATACAAACATTATCTCGTCAATACTTCTAATTTCATTTTACCCTATATCTAGAAGACTATTCTAGGTCCACTTTTTAGTATAGTACTTACCTAAATTGACAAGTAAAGCAAATCTCTCGTCTGGTATGGAACCGAGGAGCATCTCAATTTCCTTCTTCTTCTCTGGATCTTTCAATTTATCGTTCTTTAGAACTAAGAGTACCTGTAATAGTAAATTAGTTTATTGCTGATAAGATATATTGTGAACCCTCCTGAGTATGAGTCAATATCCCGCTTAAGGAGCAAAGCTGTTATAAGTTCAGGTTCGAAAGTCGTGGTGGTGGAAGATGTTAATCTATGAGCTTTCATAATCATTGAGAGGTGTCTTCATTACCCAATATTTGTTACTACTACAATTATTATATTATAGTAAATAATAACATTAGTATCCATATCGTTTACAATTTTCTATGATATAGGAGGATATACAGGGTGGCCCATAAGTCCTTTGAAAAGTAAAATTTGAATAAAACGAACAGGGCGCGCGTGAGCGGTGCAGGGGAAGCGGGGGGAGTAACTTCGGTTTCTGGGAATTTAGTCGCGATGGAGCGTTTTACCGGAGCGGACCGTGCGTTTTGTGTGCGCGAGTTTTATAAAAACGACAATTCGGCAACCGTTGCGCGGCGTAAATTTCGAGAACACAAAGGTTTACACAACTTTGACGACACTCCAACTCTTCAAACGATTAAGAACTGGGTTGCTAAGTTCGAGGAGACCGGTTCGACGTTAGATAAACCGCGGTTGGGTCGCCCAAGGACGTCACGTACGGAACAAAACATAGACACAGTGACACAGTCTATTCGCGAAAATCCGACACAGTCAACTCGTAAGCGCGCCAGAGCATTAAACGTATCCAGGACATCGTTACAACGGATTTTGAAGAAAGATTTACATATGCACCCTTACAAAATTCAGTTGGTTCAAGAATTAAAGGAAACTGACGGTATTCAAAGACAAAATTATGCGAATGAAATGTTGAATCGGTTTACTTCCTTCAATAACATAATGTTCTCTGACGAGGCTCATTTCCATCTTAACGGGCATGTTAGTAAACAAAATTGCCGCTATTGGAGCCCCATCAATCCAAAACTTAAGCATCAGAAGCCCTTACATAGTCCGAAAGTGACTGTTTGGGCCGCTATGTCAGCCCATGGTATCCTAGGGCCTTACTTCTTTGAGGATGGCAGAGGGCGCGCAGTTACTGTTACGTCGGAGCGATATGTGGCTATGATCGAAGAGTTTTTCATACCAGAATTGCAAAACTTTTCAGGCTTTAATGCCAGGACGTGGTTTCAACAGGATGGGGCCACTTCTCACACCTCTAACACTGCTATGCCCGTTATCCGTCAACTTTTTCCTGGCAAAGTTATCTCTAAGAGAGGAGACATTTCCTGGCCTCCACGTAGTCCAGATCTGACCCCGATGGATTTTTTTTTGTGGGGCTACCTTAAGGCTAAAGTATACGACACAAACCCGCGGTCAATTGAGGCCCTAAAAGAAAACATCCGCAGAGAAATGACAAGCATTTCAGCAGTGACGTGCCGCGCAGTCATCGACAATTTTAGACGTCGTTTGCAAGAGTGCCGTGATCGCAACGGATTACATTTAGGAGATGTTATTTTCAAAAAATAATTCCCGTTTTTTAAGCTTTTTATGTAAATAAAAATTTAATTCATAATGTAATTAGTTTTATTTTAATAAAAATTTTTCATATCAAAGGACTTATGGGCCACCCTGTATAATATTGTCTCACCTCATCACAAGCGCCGCATAATATATCCCTTGGCTGGTCTCCGAGAGAGCTCTGCATGAATGCAAGCAGTAGTTCATAAGTGTGTCTTGTGTGTTGGGCTCTGGGACGGTACAGAACGCCTGGAGCATCGTCAGCCCAAGCCACACGACTGGATTTTGATTTAGAGAGTTCATACGAGGCTTCATCACGTTTTTGACGTCTATAAAAAATGTTGGTATTGCAATCACATTATTTAATTTATTGATATGCAGATATTATCTAGAATATATATATATATATATATATATAATAATTTAAGTCTTATCATCACTGTTACTGATTAAACATACTGAATTTAAGTCCAATAATATGGACTTTTACAGCAGAATTTCACATTTTCAAGTCAAAATGCAAATTATTTTGTTCATAATTCTGTGTTGCCATCCTATGTATTTGTGCTGTAAAAATATAATTCATTGAAACCTAACTGAGAAATATTAATGTTAAAGTAGGAGGCGGCATATATAAGTAGGAGGCGGCATATATAATGTGACATCTATTGATACCGATAACCGTTATCACCAAGTGTATTTATTATAAGTTTCTGTTCTATTTATTGTTCATTTGCAAATAAATAGAAATGATTCTTTTAAAACAAAATGAGCCCCAACAAGACCCTTTCGTTCAATGAAACATACTTAGCCTTTCTCTCCTCAGCTTTATCTGGTTTAGTGCGTTGAGCTCGATCACCCATCTTAGTTCCCGTGAGCTTTCCAGACAGCGACAAAACTTCACCGGTCGCTTCATCTCGACCACGTCTCTCTATTAACCTTACATCAGCTTGCAGTACAAGATTCGAGTTCTGTGTGAAAAAATTGTTGGTTCAGACTTATGGTGCAACATCTCAGATACATACAGTATTTGAAGGAATTAAATCTATATTTTCTTAAAGTTGATTCGTTGGGAACTATATGAAATGTTTTGAATTTATCATTTGTATGTATTGTATGAATTTTTATGTATCGTCAATACCTACATTTTATCATTTGTCGCATTTATTTGTTATTGTCTACAGCGTTATAGTGACAACACAAGTACATACTTGCTGTTATTTAAGCATGGAAATTTTGGTCTTAGGCTACAAGTTTTGACAATATACTAAAAAATAAATATATTATTGACTGGTCAAATGGTTAATTAGTAGGGTTTCTCCAATTCTAAGTTCTCAAACATTCCAATTTTAAAATAAATATTTTGAACGACACTTACGGCCTTGTACTCATACTGCAGCTGTCTGGCAGCCGCGTCAGCCATGCTTCACTATATTATAATACAAGAATGTAGCCTTACTCCTGTTATTTGACAAAAAATGCAGGAAGGTATTTTAAATTCGAAATTACAATTTAAAATAACACAGTTTAAGGTTAGACCGCCGACGCCATTTTTACTTTATGTGTATAATCTATGGCTCTATGCTCGTAAATATTTAGTGTATCTGTGCTGTGCAGGTACTTATTAACTCCATGGTGCTGTGATTTTCATTATCCTACCAGAATCGAAACTAGCTTGATAGACATTGAATCGATATCAGCTGGTGGTCAATTCAAATATTAAATGTTTGTTAATTAAGTAACTGTCACTCAATTGTTTTGTATTTAATTTTATACCTACCATAGATTTTTACAAATACCATGCGATTATAAAGTGAGTAATGAGTAGAGTACCGTACATATTTATTATCTATAGTAATTTTTCCTTTAATATTTATCTTCTGAATGTTGGTATATACTTATTTCTAAAACTGTCAATGGAAATTCATCCTTGGGTTGTGATGATTCGTAAAGTTTAATGAACTTTAAAAACAAATCATACTATACTACATTGTTCTCAAATTATTACGTAACAGATTAAAATGGCTTAAGAATTAATGAATGAAGGAAGAATCATGCTTTTGCGGTGCACATGTCTCTTTAGGTTTATGAAATATCTTCATACGTGTACTGAATATTACAAAAAGAAAAAATGCACACAAAGATTTACTAAGTTCAAGTAACTGATTTGTAGCACTTATTAAGTCTGTGGGTAAATACTGCAACTGCTTTTCCAAGCGGATTCTACCTTATGTTTAGGTAAACGATGACCCTGAGTTTTTCTGACAATTTAAAAACAAAAAAATTAAATATGGAAAACTGTTCTAAACTCAAACCCGTTCATTCTTTATTAGGTCTGTTTTTTCGAAATGATCAAAATTGAATTTATTAATACAAGGATCGAAAACACATCATTAGTATAGTCTGTATAGGAATTTAATATATTTAATTTTGACTTTGAATAGGCGATTAAAACGCCTGTCTACCGAGCAATATCTTCCCTCCCGAAGATCTTCCCTTCGCCTCAAACGTAGATAAAAATCTAGTACAATGACAACACCAAATTAGAAATTAAAGGATAAAAACTGTTATAATTATGAAGTTCGTATTGTTACATAAATAAAATGAATTTTCATAGGCGACATTTATTTCATTCAGTTCGCCCGTGATTATGCGTATATATTTAATAAATAGTCACTAAATCACATAAAGCTCAGAAACCATCCGGTAAAAATATTTAATTTAATATATTAGCTTAATCAGGTACAACCGGATAAATAAGTGAAGGCTTTCTTGTCGATATGCCGATTAAAACAGATCATTTAGAACCTGTAGGTCTACGTAGGGACTTCAGTGCTCTCTGTATTATGTACATATGTAGTGTATCTTCTTTAAGGAATGCTCTGAGGCAGTGGTCGGCAAACCGCGGCCTTCGGGAAATACTTAGTTCAGACAGTGGCGGATTTACCATAAGGCCCGTTAGGCTCGGGCCTAGGGCGGCCAGATTTAGGGGCCGCCCAATATTAGAAACTGGCAGCTATTATTATTATTATTATTTATACTAAATTTATGGCTACTTTTACCCACACTTCCCACCCGCACTTGCGATAGCAAGTAGCTCCGTATAAATTAATTGTGCTTAATTAGTTATTCAAATATTTAACTCGCAATTAAATGTGTAGAAAGCTGATAGCACTCGTGTAAAAGTTATCATAACCAAGTATACCAAGTTGGTAGAGTATGTTAGAGCAAATAACTAGTTGTAACAACTTATGTACCATATTCTTGCGAAATAAAACTGTATTTTTCCTACATTTTTAAATCTATTTAGATAAAAGTTGGCAATAAAGTAATTTCATTATGTAGTCTATATGGTAGATGCTGAGAAATGGGCGGCTGATGGCTTGGGGCTTAGGGCGGCCGAGACTGCAAATCCGCCACTGAGTTCAGACATCTGAATATTACTTATTATCTTGCCTTTTAAGAGTCGATTAACCATTGTTGAAAGACAGGATCATAAAAATATATATATTTAAAAAAATCGTTTTTTTTTGTGGCGGGTAGCTATCAGAGAACGTAAGATATTTGACAGAAGCCTGAATCTCGCTTACGACATATTCAAGATGAGCTTGCATATATACAAGTTCAGAACAACAACATCGGGCCGTCGGTCTACCGAGCAATATCACCCGCTCGGTTGAAGATATTCCTGTAGAATAATGATACTCCACCCCGCTTAGCCTACTACGCAGTTATAGTAATAAGCAATAGGTATACTTTAGTGGTTAACGTGCAGCGATCCACCGCGGTCGCTGACGCGAATAAACATGTCATATTATGTAGTGTTTTATTGACCGCTCCAATGAGGTTTCCGGATGACAACCCAACCAACCTACAACAAACCTCACCACAATAAAACCTCACATTCCTTTTGAAGTTTATTCCCAACAAATTTCAACTGTGTATTTTTGGCTATTTTGGTTGACAAAGTTCCAGACTGCTCTGGGAAGTTATTGGAGATCCCGTCATCTCGTTTTTAAGTAGAGTTCATCTATACCACCTAGAAACACTTACACTGCGTTCATTCACAGTTCACTACCAGAGATTTTTTCTGCCATGTTTTTTTTTCCACCACCTCACCTGGTTTTAAGTGGTTACTGGAGCCCATTGCCATCTACAACGTAAATGCCGTCACCCACCTTAAGACATGAGTTCTAAGGTCCTCAGTATAGTTACAACAGCTACCCCACCCTTCAAACCGAAACATGTGCCGTCCGGATTTAGAACGAACTCTTTTGTGTTTCCTGCACGCTTAGATATGTCCTTCTTCAAACTAGACTTGCGGAGAATACTCGGAGGTTGGAAGCAGCTTGGCTCTGCCCCTGGCATTGCTGTCGTCCATAAGCTACGATAACCTCTTAGTATGCTTAGTGTGAGTTTTTTTACGTTCTCGTTAGTGTAAAAGTTAACTCAAATTTGTATTGGAACGTTTGCCGCTAGGAGCGCTGCTCGAACTGCATACAAATTCGAATTAAGTTTTACGCTATCGAGAACGTAAAAAAATCACTAAGCATCACTAAGCATCACTAAGCACGCAGGTGTACCATATGCCTACAAGGGCAATAAAAAAAGTTGCCATTAATCTTGTAACTTTGAATGTCAAATTAGTAATGAAAATATTGATAGCAGTTCAGTTACTATGTCAGTACTATTATGGTGCTTTTAGGTACCCCAAGCACCGGTCATCGTTCTCATCGAACCCGTCGCTTACGACGAAGAGCTCGGCGAGTAAATTAACCCAAAGCCCAATGAGTTTCTCGCCGGATCTCCTCAGTGGGTCGCGTTTCCGATCCGGTGGTATATTCTGCGAAGCACGGCTCTCGCTAGGGTTCGTGTTATCAACGTCGTCAGGTTTAAGCCCCGTGAGCTCACTTACTAGCCCAGCGACGCTGACATAGTATCTCTAGACCATCAGCTTAAGCTGGAAAAAAAAGTACCATTACTATAACACATAAAGTCATATTATTCAAAATAATCGCCGAAGCTAAAACACGAGTTCGAATGTTTGTAAACAATGGATCACGTGGTGTAAACAGATTACTTCACTACAGTCGCATGCGCACAATAGTCGACAGAGATCTTCGATCAACAACACGAACACAGATGTTGTGGCACGATGATCGTATCGTAGTACCGTAGAGTTCGTAGACTGGGCTTGAAAAAAAAATGACCGAATGAAAGACGAGCTTAAGGATGCCACGTTCGGTGAAGCTAGCATAATCCTTTGAGGTTACTAGCAATAGGTAGGACACAAAAAAAACATATTAAGATTGACCCTTTAGCGAGAGAATGATGATCGTCGATTAGAGTAATAGAATGTAGTAGCCTGGAAATAGAAAAAAATTAAATAATTCGAAACGTCACAAACTTAAAACTGTAACAAAAGAAACGCGAAATCAATTTTTAGTATTTTATTTAACACAGCTGATGTAATTAATTTATGATTAAATTAATATGAATTGCTATAAAAAAATAAATTTTTATGGATGCTTTGTGATAGCCCTAAGATATTGATTTTACGTAAGAGAAAATTCTTGCTACCCAATGGCAATTGGAGAGAGCGAGACAAACGATCGAATGTTTGCGAATGAAGTTGAATCTTGCTTGAATGCGATTACCACGGGACGGTGTACTGTGCTAAGTCAAAACAAAGTGCGTCACTGTCACTGGATGTTGTTTTTATCCACGGAAAACATATGTGAGTGATAAAATGGCGGCACCTTCGAATGGTAGCGGCAATTTGGTTGAAGAATTTGAAGAATCTTTTCAAGTAAGAATTTCTTTTTAAAATATTTTTAAATTCCACCAAAAATAAGTTGTACATTAGCATTATAACCTCTTCCAAAATATATCGATTGTCAGATGTCAAAATACAACGATATTACCAACATTGCAGAAAACACGATAGTGTTGCTGTGCAGTAGAAGCTTCATAGGGTGTATTCATTCATCAGACTCTGAAAACCGAAAGAATTCGGTGTCTACGTGACCCACATTAGCTTATGCGGCTTCGACCGCACCGCGACTATCATGAAGAGATTTTTGTTGCAAGAAGAGCGCATAGGTAACAATCGGCAGCCATTTTACTGATAATGTTTTCGCCTAATTATGAAAGATTATTTAGTGTTATTTAAATAGATTATCGAACTGAATAAATAAAACGAAAACGTTTAATAATGTGCTTTCTGAAAAAAAAAGTGCTTATAAGTTGGAATCCCGTATTTAATCTGAAATCGTGGTGAAATTCGGGTGACTGAAAAGTGTTTGTGACTTGAAAAAGACAATGTCGGTACATGGAGACGATGCAGGTGTCGGCGCGGGAGGCTTGGCGATCCAAGTCTTCCGCCCTACGTGGGACGAGTTTAAGGATTTCAATAAATACATACAGCACATGGAATCGAAGGGTGCTCATAAAGCAGGCCTGGCCAAGGTCATCCCACCACCGGAATGGGTCCCACGAAGGTCTGGCTACGACTTGGATGCGCTCAATGTGACGATACCGGCGCCTATATGTCAAGTGGTCACCGGTAAACAAGGTTTGTTCCAACAAATTAATATTCAGAAGAAATCTATGACTGTGAAACAATTCGCGGTGATGGCTAACTCAGCCAAGTACTGCACCCCTCGTCACTCCAGCTTTGACGACCTGGAGAGGAAGTACTGGAAAAATGTGACTTATGTAGCCCCTATTTATGGTGCCGATGTAAATGGCAGCATCACAGATCCAGACGTCACAGAATGGAACATTAATAGCTTAGGGACAATTTTAGACTTTGTCAACTCTGACTACGGTATCGAAATTGATGGCGTGAATACAGCATACCTGTATTTTGGCATGTGGAAAACTACATTCGCATGGCATACTGAAGACATGGATCTTTACTCAATAAATTACTTGCATTTTGGTGAACCAAAAACTTGGTATGCTATTCCCCCTGAACACGGGAAGCGTTTTGAGAGAATAGCTGCAGGATTCTTCCCAACGTCAGCCAAGACTTGCCAGGCATTCTTGCGACATAAAATGACATTAATCTCACCACAAATTCTAAAGCAGTACTCGGTACCAGTGAATAAGATAACTCAGGAGGCCGGTGAAATTATGATCACATTTCCCTATGGTTATCATGCAGGATTCAATCATGGTTTTAATTGTGCGGAATCTACAAACTTTGCTGCTCCTCGATGGGTGGAATATGGAAAACGTGCCATGCAATGCACTTGTAGTAATGACATGGTGAAAATATCCATGGACACCTTTGTCAAACGATTCCAGCCTGACAGATATGAGCTCTGGTTGAAAGGTCAAGATATCGGTTGTCACCCGGAACAGCCGGAAAAGATGGTGCCAGCTCCCCACCCATCAGGGCAAGACATACTCTGCAACAAGAATAACACTGAGCTACCTGAATCATTTATTGAAGCAGAAATTGAAGGTATTAAGAAGAAAAAACGTCACCCCCTTCATTTAAAGAGAGCAATGGCTAGCAAGAGCATTTCTGAAGGTGCTATAGCAGTGTCGATTCTGGGTCACGATGTAATGGATGATGATGAAATGACAATGGCTGAAGGGGATTTGGACATGATGACTTCGATGAAGCGCCCAAATTTGCCTATGCAACCTGATGATACACAGCTCGATGTTTTAGAAGATATATGGCTGAAAGGGGATGAGATGGATCCGTCAGAAGCTAGATTACCGGACACAGGCTACATAGATTCTGATCGGGATTCAGATTATGGTGTCACAAAAAGTGCTCGTAAAGGCACTAAAGGCAGGAAAAAGAGGAATATAAAGAAAGAAAAGAACAAATCTAAAAAGGACGAGGAAGGAAAATCGGAAAGCCCAGATGACAAAAAACTGGTCAAAACACGTGGAAAGAAAATTAAAACGAAAAAACTATCTGAAGAGCAATTGGAAAACATGAATGCTGTGTTGTCTAACTGGGAGTCCCCACCTCACGAGACTGATGTCAAAATAAATACAATACCACCAGATCCTTTAACTACTGAACCCACCGCAAGTCATTCGACAACACCAGCAATAGTAGAAAACAAGGTACCGAAGAAAAGAAAAAAGGAAAAATCTATCAAAGATGGTGGTGTTAATGAGAAACCTAAAAAAGAAAAAGTAAAGAAAGATCCGTCACTTGTCAGTGCTAACAATATAAAACCGGGTGATGTCAAAGAGAAGAAACCACGGAAACCCCGTACTCCGAAGAAAGTTGATAATACTGGACATCCCTTTTTATCACCCATCATGAATAAAATACACAATAAATTGACAAAGAACAGAATGACCTTAAATCCTCAGGCTGGTTTAAAGATTGCGTCGTCCACCTGTAATTCGGTTCCTAGTCCATATCCAATCCACACCTATTCTAGTAGTAGTAAATCTTTATTGAAACCGATCACGGCAACTACAAAACAGCCCAATCCAATCTTAAACCCAACAATTCCAGACGTACCTCGTGTACCGAAAATAATGCCGCTTAACAAAAACCCGAGTGCTTTTGTGGATGAGTTCCACAAATTCATGAACTCTCAGTCTTCTTTGCCATTACATCCAGAACCACACAGAAAGACACCTAGAAAATACATTAAACCAGAAAAAGTGGTCGTACAAAAAGTTGATCATCCAAAGCAAGATGCTTTTCCGATGCCAGTTGGTCAGTACAATGATTCAATTTTCGTAAATAATCCCATAGACTATAGGACGTATGGGGAAAGACAACAACCCCCTGTGGACAGGAGTGTGTGGAGACAAGACTATTATCAGCCGATGCTACATGGAGTTCAAACGATGTACGGGCAAATGAACTCAAACCAATACTACAGAAGCCCATACCAGTCGCCTTGGTACGGTTTTCACAATAATCCTTAATAATATAGATTTATTTATCAATAAGTAAAGAATAATGTAAATTTAAATATAATGTGATGCGCAGAGTGCAGTGTGAGGAAATAAATAAAAATAAATTTGTTGAGACATTTTAATTTGTGTATTAAAAATTTTTTTTTGGTAATCCCTATTTCTCTTGAAAACATTGTACACAGATAATACTAATTATATCATTCTCAAGGATATTTTATTGTAAATTTAATACCGCAGTGATGCGTAATTTTTATTTTTATTAACATGATTGACTTCTTTTAGTATTTAATTGTTATAAAGATGACCGAATTGTATAAATCTATTCAACGCTGGAAAGTGCAATTAATAAAAAGATAAATTGAGAATGTTGTTAAAAAAATACAATCCTTGTGATTTCACTTTGATTTTTCAGAAATTGCATTTCAATTATTTTAATATATTTATTTTATAGTGGTAATTACTTAAGTTAAATTAATTCGAAAATTGAAAACATAAAAATTGATTGATCAATGTGTATAATGTAACAAGTCAACTGAGTTTTTTTGTTTGTTATTTATTTGTGTTCTATTTATTTTAAATGTCTGTTAATCGAAATTTATTTTTGAGCTGAATATTTCTGTGCAATAAGGAATCGAAATCATCAAATTCATTACTTTTTTTTTGCTGCTACATTTGCTGCCGGGATCTATCATAAATATGTTGGTGTTTTCGTTCTGAAACCACGTTTTTTTTATGTTTTGTTACTACCCGCTGTCTTCGAATAAAATATAAACTGTATTATCCAATCACTAGATCAACAATTGTGTACAGTTCGAAAGCGTGTATAGCGGCGAAGCTTGTTCGCGCACGGCTTTGGAACTTCGAAGTTTTTTTTTTCTCGAATTTGACCCTTTTAGTGGTTTTTTTTTTTCGAATTTGACCATTTTAGTGCTGAGCTTATTTTCAGATATTTCGCGAAGATTAGCTAATGAATTTTTGAAAAAAGCTAATTAAAACACTGACTTATAATACAAAAATCAATGCTAAATTCACAGAAAGATAATTTTGAAATGGTTATTTAGTAATGTTATTGACTTATTAAAAACGTTATAAGTGCGCTCGCTATGACACGTCCGTACAGGTCGATGCCTAATAATAATATTTATGAAACTGCGCATTAATCGGGATTCTGAGTCGATTTAACGACGGTTCGGGTCGTTTACAATTTTGCGGCCAAAAAAGTAACGATTTCATGAATTTAAACTTTCTCTAATTTTCCATTTTTTTGTATTTAGGCGTGTTCAGAATAAAAAATGCTTCATCACAATCAAGTCAATCACTCATTTTGATAAATAATAGTCATTTATATTTTTCATGTTACGCATTTGATAACGCCAACACGGATGACAATTTAAATAGGAACTCTTTTTAAAAGTTTAGAAACCGTACTTGTTTTGTTTTTAATAATGTTCTAATATCCAGTTAGTTTTCCTTCATTAATGCATTATATTAAATAAAATTGCCGAATTTCAACACGCATTACTGAAAAAATAGCAAACAAGTTAGAATTTGAATTTCGGACCAGTGATACGAATGAGATTTGGGGTAGTTTTTAATGACAGCGTTTACGAATATATAGTTAAAGGACCACGTGCCTGTTGTCATGACAACACATTTACAGTACTTATAATTACGGTAACATTATGGTTAAGAGAATTAAATAACTCGCTTTTGGCGCCAAAATTTGAAAACGACCCGTTCGTGATCAAAGGGTCAAATTAAAGAACCACAGTTTATATATTTCACGAGTAGTATGTATTATCTGCAGGCATAATTCAACAAACCACAAAAAAATACATTAAAAGAAACTGCAGTGCACTGTTTTGTTCATGATTCGCTGGATGCAAGCGACAGAATCTTCATCGACGACCATATTGTTGTCAAGAAAGACGTTGACAGCCACTTTTTGGCGCGTAATATTTGGTATTTCTATTTTTCACGTAATGCTTGTTTTATTGAAATCTCTAGATTACGTTATATTTGAACGACAAAATACTCAAAAATACTTTAAAAAAAACAGCAAATAAATCACAAATAAAAACAATATTTTTACATTTATAACAAAACGTAATTGTCCTGAAGTTTTTTTTTTTAAATTAACATTGTATAAAAAGGCGTCAAGTTTATAAAACAAATGAAAAATGTACAGTGAGATAATGTAGGTAATTTATATTAATATGTATTTTAAAAGTTTGAAATTTGGCGGGAGCGCCTAATCTATAGTTCGTATTTTAGTTTAATACTTTGTTAAGTTATGTATTTTTTTTTTATATACGGACGTACCTTTAATTGATTTTAGTTAAAACGGCGAAGCGAGCGTTATGTTTGAAACAGTCTAATAAATTTGCTGTTCCACAATACAAATATTTTGTAAAACTTGCCATTTTTATGTATCATCGACTGAATTTTAGTGTATAAGAAACATGAATGCATATTAAATTGGCGTTTTCATTGACGGGTTCACCTCCGATTATGTAATTACATGCGAATTAATCGACCAGGTCACGTGATACCGAGTTATCCTCCTAGAATAAGGCGCTTTTAGCTTGAAACAGCTAAAGCCCAGCCCTTTGTGGCTCACATACAAAAGAGTGTGTGAGCGCATTAGTAACAACTGTCATTGCCGCGTCTAATGTTTTTGAGCCTACGGAATAACCTAGTCTTAAGATCCATGACAAGTATTTTTTCCGCCTCTGGTAATTACGAAAACTATATTTGTTTAACGCTCTATGTATGAAAAGTGTAAATCGAAAAGCGACCGTCTAGAGCTGCGTCACCGGAGCCAGTGGTGTGATTTCAAAGATGGCGTCAAAAATGAAAATTAAATTTTTCAACACTGCATATACTGCAGAAACTGCCGCTTTCATGTCACACCGCTTGCTAAGTTGCACGGTTTTCTGTGGGTTATCAGAGTTTTAATTTGCTGCTCGACAGACGACAATATTCGATACGTCCCATATTAAGTTACATACAGTTGTGGTTTGTTATTTACTCTCTTCATATTAGCGGGAAAATTGCACTCAAAAATAAATAAATCAAACACGCTATTTTATAAACACTTATAATGGTAGTGTACAGTATAGGTGATACTAATTATATTAAATTACGAAGATAATATTTTTATTTTAAACATTAAATTGGCGCGCGAATCTTGTCGACTGACGTCTAGTGACAGCCGCGCGTTCGGGAATTCCGATTGTGCCCGAACACGCCCGAATGGTGGTAAGTCGGCGCGGCTACGTATCACCACCCCGCCTATTTCTGCCGTGAAGCAGTAATGCATTTCGGTTTAAAGGGGCAGCTGTTGTAACTATACTTGAGACCTTAGAACTTATATCTTAAGGCGGGTGGCGCATTTACGTCATAGATGTCTATGGGCTCCAGTAATCACTTAACACCAGGTGGGCTGTGAGCTCGTCCACCCAACTAAGCAATAAAAAAAATGCGTCTTGATATGCCAGCGTTAAAAATTACACAATGCCCATACTTATGCTGGTACAATTTTGACAGCTATACGACGAGGTATGCTAATATAATATAACGGGCTGTGTGCTCAGTGCGAGTTTTTTTAACGTTGTCGATCGCGTAAAAGTAAACTCAAATTTGTATGCAATCGAAACAGCGCCCCTAGCGGCAAACGTAGGTTCCAACTCCAAACTTGTCGCATATACGGTGCTATAAAGGCACTTGTGCATTTTCTGTTAAAACTGAACTAATTATGAGAAAATACATTTTTTAATAGTTATATCAGTGAGATGTTTGCTTTTACTGATGAAATTTAAAGTTGTAGTTTAAATATTATCGTTTTTATTTGCTTTAGTCTAGCGGAACTATATATTATATATAGTATATAACTAGCTGACCGGGCACACTTCGTAGTGTCTCAATCGCTAAATAAAATACCTAAACTTTGGTATAAAATAAACTTAAAACAAACAAAAAGAATTCGTCCGACGGGGGACACATCAAAGGGAAAACAAAATTGTTCTTTTTATTTAATTCCGAGCATTTTCATATTTATTTACCTTTTAAACCTTCCCTGGACTTCCACAAATAATTCAAGACCAAAATTAGCTAAATCGGTCCAGCCGTTCTCGAGTTTATCGAGACTAACGAACAGCAATTCATTTTTATATATCACTACATAGTATAGAACAATGTCGCTTTCTCTGTCCTTATATCCCTATGTATGCTTAAATCTTTAAAACTACTCAACGGATTTTGATGCGGTTTTTTTTAATAGATAGTGTGATTGAAGAGGAAGGTTTATATGTATAATAACATCCATTACATAGTGGAGAAATCAATAACAAATTACAGTTTCCGAAGCGAAGCGAGGGCGGGTTGCCAGTAAATAATAAGTCGGCTATTCCCGTATATTGTGTACGAGGGCGGCACTGAAAATTTTAGGAATTAACGAAGTGACACAACATTACTATTTAAAAATGTATTTATTGCTTTTTGAAGTATTCTCCGCGAAATTTGACACATTTTTCCATACGATGGAACCAATCATTGAAGCAACCATTCCATTGGAAGTGGAGGTCTCCAAAATGGCCGTTTTGTAGGCGTCCACAGCTTATGATAATATGTTGAATTTTCCAACGTTTCTCCTGAAAAATTACATAATTTGCATAAGTGACTTTATCGTATGTGCGTTGGGTTAACTTTTACGCTATCGAGAACGTTAAAAAACTTGCACTAATCACACTGGTGTGATATCCCGTTTAGTTCTCGCAAGGCTTCGTTTAAAATTCTAGCCGCGCGTAAGATAAAGTTTTGTATTAAAATGATAAAAACAAAAAGATTTTGTTTTTTTTTATTGAATTTAATTGTGTGACGATATGTGTATCTCTTAGACAATACTGTATAATTAAATCATTTGCAAATCAACGAGTGTATAGCTATTTGGTATAAGCGAATTTTTGCAAATTGACAGGAGAGCCATTTAAAGTTTAAAAACG